ATCTTCCAACTAGGAGTCCAAGCCATTCTTTCGAGAAGGAGGGTGTTAATGTATTTGAACTTGATGATCTGAAAAAATGTTTTTGTGCATGTATCGAGAGACAGGTATTTATAGAATTCATGGAGTTCCTTCTTCTTTGAAATATCATCTTGTGCCTACATTTCAAAGTCCCTGGAAAAGCCGATAAGTTAGGATGACAGGGAAATTATACCTCAATTCCGTGGCCGCTGCTTCATTTTATTCAATTATTAAAAGCATGCTTCTGCTAAGTTATGTCCTATGAACTACTTTCTATTAATTTGGATTTTAGTGAACAAATGGTTCACGCTCGCTTAATTTCAAATGCCTTTTGGACTTTCCTTTTGTTAGTAGCAGCCACCCTCTGTTATATTTGTTTTAATAAAATCAAGAAGAATTGAGGAGAAGAGGTAATTATTGACCATGTAGAGTGTAATGTTTAGAAATAGAGCTTAAAACACTGTAAGTCGACTTGACTCAACTTGTAGGGGACATAATATCATGTTATTCATCGAACATTAGTGTGTTTCTAGGTTCAGGGGTGGAACGAGATCATTTTTCTCGTGGGGTCTAAAATGAGAATTAAAAAATGTTTAAGTATAAAAAAAACAAAACTCAAAGAGGAAAACTAAAAAAAAAATAAAAATTGTGGGGTTATTTGACCCCACATGACCCTATGTGGGTCCGCTAGTGCCTAGGTTCATCAAGTTTTTTTTTAGTGACTCGAAATCCATTCGTTTTCATAATATAATATCCAATGCGAGGGATGCCAAAAAACTAATGAATTTGAACTCAGTGAGCAAATTGATCACTAAGTTGAGTGACCTAACAGGGTTTTGTACCCTTAAGAAATAAGAAACTTGAGTCGTCTCAATTCCTTACAGCAGTTTCTTACTAATTTCAATACAATGCTGGACAAAGACTTTTAGAAGTTTTACAATAGATTTTTTTATAATATTTTTGAATGAAGTTTTGAATTAGAAATTACTAATACAAGTTTTTAGATTTGATCCTATTGCCAACCTAAAATTTTAAATTGTTGACAATTCATTTTAACACAATACAATCCACACAGTACATACTGCATACAGTAATGGCAACAACATGCCTTAAAAATTGCTTTTTCACTAATTTGTTTATAACATTCATATCAATTAGATAATTAATACTAATATTTCAACCTTGTTCATGGCATATTTTACTAGGGAGGAGATCGGGTTGCCAGATATTTTGGCATCAGAATATAAACCATCACTACTAGGAAATCCTTGAAGAATCCCTAACTGGAAAGTGAATTTGAGTACTTGATATCTCATCGATGTTGTACTACAGTGTTGCAGTCGCTGATAGAACATTTGACCGGTCTTAAGAATTTTGAGTCTATAATGACAAATTATTATGAGCCCCTAAATAACATTTTTCACAAGCATTGCATTCTCTTTAGCATCAACCATGATTCCTTTAAACCCAATTTTTCTATAACTTTTGAAAAATGAAACAAGCTCTTTAAAAATAAATTACTTATTAATTTTCATAAATAATAATTTAGAAATTTTAAAGAAACTTTATAATCTTAGCAAAAAGTATTATGAGAGATTTTTAAAATTTTTTTATTACTTTTTTATATTGATATGTTTTTTTAAAATTACGCCACAGTCACATACTACACAATTATTGATTACAATTACATATATATACTAAGTCACAAATCACACTCACATGCCACACAATTTATGGATTACAATCATATATTGAAACATAAATTACACAATAAATAACGCATAAATTATTTTATTAATAAAAAATCACACACTAATTGGACAGTTTCACCTCACCCCGATCATAGTCTTACCACACCCTATCCCATCCCTTCTACGACAACATCCCTAGATCTACAATTGTTCACAACACTTCAACCACAATCATCGACTCCTCTCCAACTTCTATTTTTCTATTTCTTCTATTTCTCCCATTTCTTTCCTCTCCATTTCATGAATCACCATGACCTACAACATCTTGTTCTTGCATTACTAAAAATACTTCTCATCACACCGAAAACCCAACCATTTCTCCCTCCTAACCTATAATTCAACCTTACTCAGGCACTTAAAGGGTGAATTTTTGACTTTGTCGATATCCAGAGGCTAGACTTTGATTGAGATATGAAGTTGGGGTAAGAATTTGTTGTCTTGGAAGTGAATTTGGATCTTTCAATGATCCAATATAATGATATATAAGAATAATGTATATATAAAGCCAGGTGGATATGATATCTATTGACCTTGATTTTTGCACAAGTGACGTGACCAATAGATTCAGTCCATTCGCGTCACGTGTATAACTCTTACACATTTAGACAAACCGTTAAAAACATGAGGCTGTTGGGAGCACTTCAACGATAAATTCAATCAACTTGTATAGATATGTATGGGTGTGGGACGTGTGTAAGATTGAGCCACAATCGTGTTCGTGCATCGAAAATTTATAGAGTAAAAATGGAACAATATTATTGAATGTATACCTTCAAATGACAATAAATATGAGTTTTTATAATAAAAGAGGTGTAATGCTTACCGTTGGATGAAAAGACAAGTGGTTTTATCTTGATGATCGAAACACCTTTTTGTAAGTGTCATTCTACCAGTCATAGGCTCAGAGTTTTTAAATGACTTTGAAAAGTAGTCACCCTCGACCTAGGCCTTGCATATAAGAGTAGACATACAAGTTGATTTGATACGACGACTACTACAGAAATGTCACATCAATTATTCATAAAAAAAATCTTTATATGGAGGATTTATCTAGGGGAGGTGCCTCTATATGTCTAAGCCTATTCGTATTGAATTGGTGCTGCAGCGGATCACATCGCCTTACCTCGTCCATGAAGGGTTCGACCTCTACTGCAGGTTCGTTGGAGTGCATCACTTCAACTACATAAAGGTCTTTGATAGGCCGCATAGGATAGCGATGGGGAGTGCTGGCTTGAGTTCACTTATCATGTGGTTGCTACGTTTCCGTTCCTTGGAGCCTTGTGAATGTGGCATAACAATATATATAAAGCCAATTGTGGTAGGGTAGGTGTGAGGATGGGGATGGGGATTGGGAAGTGAATTTGGATTTCTCATCCATCTAATATAAGGATATATGTATAATACATATACATAAAGGCAAGTGTGTGTGTGTGTGTGGAGAGTTGAAAGTAAATAATAAAATGTATATTTTTAAAATCAAATTTAATATGATAGGTTAATATGATTTTGGCTTAACCAATAAAAATTAATCCTTTCGTCCCAATTATATAGGCTGAGTTTCATTTTTCTATTGTCCTAAATATATAGGCAGGTTTCATAATATATAATATTTTGTTGTATTCATTTACCAATATACTCTAATTAAATTTTCCCCACTTAATATGCCAATTTCTTGAAATCATCCAAATACACACACTTCTCACTTCTTGAAAAACATGGAACAACTCTCATTTCTTCTTCTTCTTCAAAATTTTTATTAGTTCCAACAATAAAAATAGTTTTACATATTGAAAATTAAATAGGGGTAAACTAAGAAAGATTTTGGCAAAAAATAATTTTCCAATGACATTAAAGAAGTTTTCTTAATCAATGTGAAAAATAAAACAAACCTATATAATTGAGACGGAGGGAGTATATATTAGTCACAAAGCAAAATTTTTAAAAAAGAAATAAAAACTCCTTGGGCCTTTTATTTCATTTATTAATGTTCAGTTGGGTGCTCATTAAGGTTCTAAGTGCCAAAGTATTTTGGGCCTCTTATTTAGTCCTATCTTGTAGTTTTATCGTGGATTTTTAAACGAACAGAAGAATCGAATAAAAAAATAACGGAGAATTTTTGTTGGACTTTTGGACTGTTAATTTTTTTTTTTTAATATAGTTGAGTTTAAAGAACATAACTACATCCTTTAAGTTTATTTATTTGAAAATGGAATCCAATTTACATCTGTCACCATTTCAGTTGCTTGAA